TTTATTATTATCTTCAATTTACATATTAGGAAATGAGTCAGAAAGAGAGTAAGTAAAAGCTGTAACATTGGGTTATTAGAAAAGTCATGATGCATTTTTGCAACGAAAAACAGAAAAAATACGTCATGACTTTTCCGACAACCCAATAGTAAGTGGTAGATGGGATTTCAACTCAGGCTGCCTGATTTCAAAGCCAACACTCTTAACTACTTCATTAGTCTCCCTAGGAAATAGGTCCTTTTCTTTTTTTCCAAATGTTGCCTTTTTACTTAACATTTATTATAAGTTTCTATCATTATTCATGTGGTATGTGTGTGTGTGTACACAAACATTTGTGTGTGTGTATTCCAGCCCAGATTAATAAACTTTCTAAAATTAAAACTATATCCAATAGTGTTATTTAGGGTAAGAGAAACATAGCCTAATTTCAAAATACGTATCAAAGAATTTTTTTTCCTTACTGTTTTTAAGATGCCTTGACTTTTCATGTTCATAGATCATTTCTTCTTCAGAGGTACCAATATCAACTGTACTGCATTCAGATGAGCTAGATGGCTTTACCTTCTGAAAAGTAAAGTCCCACAAAAATGTGAATAAAATTTCATTTACTCACTATAGTTAACATTCACTTCATTTATAGAAACAAGAAAGATTATGTGCATAAAGACTATTATCAGGTTTAAAGGACTTAAGGCCAATTTCATGATTGGTATTAAAATACACACATATCTTTGTGAGTTGAAGTACAAACAAAAACTCATAGACACAGACAACAGTTTAGTGGTTACCAGAGGGTAAGTAGGGGGAGGGAGTTGTCAAATATATGGTGATGGAAGGAGAACTGACTTTGGGTGGTGAATCCACAATGCAATATATAGATGNTATCAGTTAATCAGACTTAACATAAGAGATGGAAACTTTAGTCATATTTGACATGGCTCTTATCTTTAGTTCCATGCAGTCAACTCACAGGCATATGCCACTTGCTAATAATGGTGCAGGGAGTTAAAAACATTTTTGTTTTCATTAATCCATACTGTTATTATAAGAAAACATCACAAAGCTTGTTCCACTGCAGAAATAATCAGGTAAACCAGTGGAAACACATGAATATAAAATAAAAATATAGTAGTTTCTCCAAAACTTCCCAGTTATAACAGGTCAACCTTAATTTTACTGTGGAGGATGCAAAGTCTGATAATGCCATTCAAAGCAATTCCATGGTGCTTTTATTTTAGCACTGAAAAAAGGCAATAAAGTACCGATAATCTCAGGCAGACTTGTATCAAAGTACATTGAAGTTCAAGATGTAAACAATTAAAGTAATCTGATGTACAGAATGTTGTGATTTTCATAAACTTACTGTTAAATAAAAGTAAATATAAAATAGCAATAGAGTTGCTAACTTAATTGAGCCAATTATGGAGTAAAAGTATTATAAATTATAAGTATAATCTAAAGTTATTTTAAAGGACCTTATTTTATTGCATGTATTTATTCATTGAATCAGTACATAATGCAAAATAATATAAAAAGATATACCAGGAGTCCCCGCTTCAATTAAAAAATTTTAAACACAGGCAAAACTAATCTATGGCAGCTGATTTGTGCATACTGGTTACCCACATGGAGTAGGGAAGTAATTGTGAGGGGTCTGAGTATGGTTTTGGATTCCTGGTAATATTCTATTTCTCTAGCCAATGACAATTACATAGGTATAGTCACTCTTTGAAAATCCTTTATCCCATGCATTTATAACTTGTATGGTTGTCAGAATGTGTAATAAATATTAATATAAAGTTTACTTAGAAATATATGCAGTACAAAGTCCGGCTTCCAATCATGACTCCATCTTTTCTGTTCTGTGCATCTAACATTTAACTATTTCTTGTGTATCCTTCTCTGATCTTCTTCGATCAAATACAAGCAAATAATATACACTCTATTTTTCTTCCTTTCCTACATAAAATGTAGCATGTCATACACTTTATTCTAGATCAGCGGTTCTCAACCTGTGGGTTGCGACCCCTTTGGGGGTCGAATGACCCTTTCACAGGGGTCGCCTAAGACCATCGGAAAACAAAAAG